AATTTGTCAACAGATTTGATGTTGCTTGGTCCTGTCACTCACTTACGTAGCTAATAAAGAATCAGCCCAGGTCTGTGCACAGGAAACATGTCACGTGTGCTACATTGAGGCTCTCTTACTATGGAAAATAATGTTGGTGTCACAGAAAATTCGGTCATGCAACACGTGATTCCTACCTGTGTTGCATCTGAATTGACTACAATCTATGATAATTTTGTGACATCCTGTCCACTCATTCATAACATTCAAAGTGATTCAAAAAGTACTAATACAGATTTAAATATATATATACTTTATAGATGCTAAAATATATATGTATATTAAAGTATATATTTAGATATATATATTTAAATTCTTAAGCACTTACATATGTACAGCATTGCTTTAATGAGAGACACCTTGAAATGTGTCAGAGCAAGGTTTTGGAATCTCTGCTTTCAGGTGCTTCTCCTCAAAAGGCACAGGTTCCATCTTAGCTGAAGTTGAAGAGTCTCAGAGGTTGTCGTTTCCTGTATCCACTACAGAGTGGCCGTGCCGCAGAAGCTCTGTGCCTGAGTTCTAAGCCCTTCTTAGCATTTTCTGTCTATTGGGATGGAGTTTACTTTCCTTCAGACAGCAGGCTGCTCACTCACCATGAGGATGCCATATTTATGCCATCAGGCAGACTGGTGGCTACCCAGAAACACAAACCACAGTGATGCCTCAGATGCTTCCTGAAATCTCTTCCAGCAGCAACCAAGACTAGGACAAAACCATCTGCATGCAGAGGCACACACCTCCATCCACAAATTCAGACAGTCAAGACATATACTTTTATCTTGCTTTTTTCTGCAATTCTACTTAAGTTCTATTTTTAACCTCTTCTCATCTCTGAGGAATGTTGACCTTATTCAATTTAGGAGGGCTTAAGCAAGCTATTGACTTCCCTGTGATGGGGATTACAGTGATGCACACACCCTAGAGTTGATGCGATGGATGAAAGGGTCAATACCAAGCATTTGCTAGAGTGCCTGGTACTTGTGATTGCCGTTGTCATAATGATTTAGGGTTGTCACGGCTTCTCTGCAAAGCTGTATCTCTGTTCAAATGACTTGCACAGTACCACGGCTCACATGGTATCTTTGGACTAAGCAGGCCTCTGCAGAGATATCCTTCACCTGTCTTGTTCTAGGTAATTGGTTCATACAGGTTGCTGCTGTATCAACTTTTGTTCTCTTTTTTTTTTTTTTTTTTACAGAGTGTCATGTCGCCAGGCACCAGGCTGGGGTGCACTGGCATGATCTCGACTCACTACAACCTCTGCCTCCTGGGTTCAAGCAATTCTCCTGCCTCCACTTCCCGGGTAGCTGGAACTACAGGTGCACGCCACCTTGTCCAGCTAATTTTTTTTGTATTTTTAGTAGAGACGGGATTTTGCCATGTTGGCCAGGATGGTCTAGATCTCTTGACCTCGTGATCTGCTCGTCTTGGCCTCCCAAAGTGCTGGGATTATAGGTTTGAGCCACCGCGCCCAGTCTCTTGTTCTCTTTTGAGAGGCTCCTCATGCCCCCAAATTATCCTTCTTCATCTTAGTACCTCCCAAGTCTACAAGAGTTTGTTTTGTGCTATGCTGGTCTGTAGGAAATTTTACTATTGTATTCTTTAGAATATTAATCACTTATTCCAGATACCTTCTGTTGCTGGTCATGGGGTCATGGGAAAACTGAGTATGTTTTACAGCTCATAGTACTTTTTCTAAAACAAAAATGGTGACCCTCGAGTTGGGTGCCACATATTTTCCATTGACAAACACTTCAATGCTCTTCACCATTTTCCTTCCCACTCTGCACCCATGAGGACTAACAATATAGTTTGCACCATCCAGCATCCAGTTATCGTTGGAAAAAAGAGTTAATTGCAAGAATTAGAGAGTGAGAGGAGGGGAAGTTCAGGTATTTGGTTTCCCGAATCTCTCCTCTGTGGTTGAGGTTTGACATTGCCTAAACACTTTTATATAAAGTCAGAGTATCTGCTAAGCAGCTCTCCTCAGGTTTCTTTAACATATAGGTAGCTGGGTTTCATATTTTTTTATTCTTAGTAGTATTTTTTTTTTTTGAGACAGAGTCTCACTCTGTCTCTCAGGTTGGAGTTCAGTGACACAATCTTGGCTCACTACAATCTCTGCCTCCTGGGTTAAAGCAATTCTCCTGCCTCAGCCTCTTGAGTAGCTGGGATTACAGGCACCTGCCACTATACCTGGCTAATTTTTGTATTTTTAGTAGAGACAGGGTTTTAGCATGTTGTCCAGACTGGTCACTCCAGGCCTCAAGCTGTCCACCTGCCTCAGCCTCCTATGGCACTAGCATTACAGATGTGAATCACTGCACACAGCCAAGATTACTGATTTTTTAATGGAGTCAACCTGCCCTCAGTCCAGAAAGTGGAAAGATGGAGAAATCGTCAATATTCTTGAACGATATAAGCAAGTCCTCTTTATTTCCACCCAGAACCCAATCATTCATTGCAAGGAAGTTTCCTGATTTTTCTCTGAGTGCCCTTGATTTCCTCTAGTGAAGGGGGACGCCATTAAGGTTCATTGTTTGTCTATGTAGTATTTTATAAAAGAAGCCCTTGCAATGTGAACAGATCCAAACCAATCGCGTTTGCCATTGTGCTGCCTTTCAGAGCAGGGAAAGCTTTATGTTGGACAGCATTTTATTTTCTCCTTTTCTATCCTCTTTGAAACTGCCTGTTGACCTGAATGAATGGTGGTAAGTGGTAAATACTCCTGCTTCTCAGTTATTTTGTTTATTTAATTTTTTTAATTTTTATGGGAGAATTAGCTGGAAGCAGAAAAAACAAAAAAGTATCTTTCAATAAAATTCTCACTGAGGTTGCACTGCTTAGATTTTATCTTCCACAAAACCCGGTGAACTTAATTTGGCAGGTGTCTTACCTCTACACATGTTGTATTATACAAATAAAGTTTTCTAAACCTGATTGGTTAAAAAAATAACCTGAGGATGTTGGTAAATGTATAAAGATGCCAGCTTTCTCACTAGGAGAGTCATACAAGTCCAGGGTGGTGCCCAGGAACAAGTACTTTTAATAAGTGAGAAGTGTGATTCAGTAAACCAGGCAAATATGAGCAATCTGGGTTAAAAGCAAATTTTTGACTAGGCACGGTGACTCATGCCTGCAATCCCAGCACTTTGGAAGGAATGCTTGAGTCCATCCTGGACATGGGGAGACTCTGTCTGTACAGAAAATACAAAAATTAGCTGGGTGTGATGGTGCATGCCTGTGGTCCTAGCTAGTTGGAAGGCTGAAGTGGGAGGTGGGCTTGAACTCTGGGAGGTCAAGTTTGCAGTGACCCTTGATCATACCACTGCACTCCAGCCTGGGCAATAGAGGAAGACCCTACCACAAAAAAAAAAAAAAAAAAAAGAAAACTTTCTGGTTAAAAAAGAATGAAAGAATGCAGGCCTTGGAGCTGGGAAGACAGAAGCCTGGGTTGGACTCTCAGCCACCTATAGCTACGTGGGTATGGGCAGAACTAGACCCCTCTCTGGGTCTAGTTTTCTCATCTATCAAATTCAGATGCTAACAGACCTGCTCATGTGGAGTTTCCCATCCAGTGGGAGTCAGTGGCTGATGCTAAAGGGGTGTAGGAGAGGGTCAGTGCAGAGCAGGGCCCACTCCAGTGAGAATGGCATTGATGTCCTTCATCAAAGACGTGCAAAGACACCCTTGTAGCTCATCAAAGTTGCATTAATTGCCTTGTGGCAACAGCAGAGGTTGAGCACCATGGGAACTATTAGGTTCCCCGAGAAGAGGGGAAGGATGTATTAGAAAGAGGTAATTGCAGCACTCTTTACAATAGCAAAGACCTGGAATCAACCCAAATGCCCATCGATGATAGACTGGACTGGGAAAATGTGGCACATATACACCATGGAATATTATGCAGCAATCAGAAATGATGAGTTCGTGTCGTTTGTAGGGACATGGATGAATCTGGAGAACATCATTCTCAACAAACTGACACAAGAACAGAAAAAGAAATACCGCATATTCTCACTCAGGAGGGTGATGAAAAATAAGAACACATGGACACAGGGAGGGGAGTACTAAACACTGGGGTCTATTGGGGGGAAAAGGGGAGGGCCAGCGGGGGGGGAGCTGGGGAGGGATAGCCTGGGGAAAAATGACAAATGTGGGTGAAGGGGAGAAAGGAAGCAAAACACACTGCCATGTGTGTACCTATGCAACTGTCTTGCATGTTCTGCACATGTACCCCCAAACCTAAAATGCAATAAAAAATAAAAAATAAAAAAAAAGAAAGAGGTCATTCTAGGATTTGGGCTTTTCTTCTTTCAGTGATTTTTGGGTAGTTTCCATGAAGTGAGGCTTTGAATAAAATGCTTTTTGAAAGCGAGGTTAATCCTACAATTGGACATGTTCATATGTCTATCTAAAAGGCAGAAATAACAGATCAAAGTTAAGTCTATAATTAAGAAAAAACTGTATTCACTCATATCGTTCAGGAAAACAAAAAGGATGCTTGGTCATTTCGGTAAGTTCTTTAATATCCTTTTATTTTTGAGAATTCAGACATGAATATAAAATGTTTGAGTAGAGCTTAGTCTACTGAAATCACAGAGTGGCTCTGCCTGATATTACTTTGCTGGGAAATAATTTTTTAATGTTTTATAGACACATAATGTGTACATATTTATGGGGCACGTGATATTTTGTTACATGTAATGATCAAGTCAGGATATGTGGGGTGTCCATCCCTTCAAATATTTATTGTTTCTATGTGTTGGGAACACTTCAAGTACTCTTTTCTAGCTGTTTTTAAATATATAATATATTGTTGTTAAATATTGTCATCCTATTCTACTGTCAAACATTAGAACTTATTGCTTCTGTCCAATGGTGTCTTTATGCTTCCAAAAACACCCTGCCCAGCCTCTGGTTACAGCATTCTCTTCCCTACCTTCACAAGATCAACTTACTTTTTTGCTCCAGCATATGAGTGAGAACATGCAATATTTCACCTTCTTCCTGAAGACTGAGGATGATTATTTCCTGATCTGAGCAGTTTTGAGTCCAAGAGCTGGTGTTTCTCATTCAGCATTTGTGATCAGGTGATAGAAAAATTTCTGTAGGAGCCTGAGGCCAAGAAATATTGGAGGATATGTTCTTATTATTTATCCAGGAAAAAATAGTGAGCACAAAGTGAAATTCAATTACCTTTCACACCTGGTGAAATCTGGTTCAGCATCTGCCTGTGATTAATCATATCACAAGTGCTTCTTTATTTGGGGTATAAAGCAGGACACAGTTCCCAGTTTCTCAATTATTTCCTATTAAAGGTGGAAGAATCCCTGGAATTCACTTCTTAAGAACAATTTATTCTTAGAGGAAAGAGGAAACATCACGCAACTCTGCCCAGATTTCAGACCCCATTGGGGATTCTTCTGAGGACAAAAGTGCGTCAGCCACCATTGTGAGTCAATGATTCTCAATCTGCTCAGGAGTGTTTAAATGCCCTCTTCCTACCAGCATTATTTCAGTCTAGGCTTATGAACATTCTGCCTTTGGTTGTGCACTCTGCTACAGCTGCTGCTTATTAAGCATCAAACACATTAGAGCACGTTTTGATTTTAAATTGATATTGAGCCAGGCCCCCTCTTCATTTATGAATTCAAGAGTCAAACATTGAGTTCCTACATTGTGCAGCTCAGCAATCTCTCCAGTGTAAAGCCCTGAGACTCCCTTTATACAACAGCTAAACCCCTCATTATATGTTAGGCAGAGGGACAATCTTCTTTCATACAAAACTACAAATAGGAAAGGACTGATGGTCCTCTGCTGAAAAAATATAACCAAACCTGGGCCATCCAGTTGTGGTGCTTACAGTCTCCTAGAGAAGAAAAGCATTAACCAAACAAGCACATACCTACTAAATTACACACTGAAATATGCACCAGAGATAAAATGCACAGGGAACTATGAGAGGACAGGCAGGAGTCCTGACCTCTCTAGGATTGCAGTGAGGACAGAATGTGTGAGTATCTTTTGAACAATCAGCTCTATGTAAGTATAAGCTAATTGCATTCCCACACAACTATGGAGAGGCAGGTCCTGGACTTGATCCAGGTTCTCTGGCTGAACCCCCAGAATATCACCCACCACCCTAAACTCTGTCTCTCTTCTAACCTCTGAATGTAGCCACTCTATCTCCTGAGATGGCTATTCTATCAGGGCTAAAGCAGTGGCACTGGAACTTTTGAGGGACAATCTTCTTTAATACAAAAGTACAAACAGGAAAGGACTGATGGTCCTCTGCTGAAAAAAAGACGGAAATACAAGACTTCCCACTTAATTTTCAAATTTCCAGCAGAATTGTTGGAGTAATTTGGATTCATTCTGTAGAAAAGACATTTTAATTTTTCCTTTTGAATGACTCTTTCCATTTCTACGGCCATACTGTCTTTTATGATATAAAAACATAGAAATTGTGGTATTTGTTTAATGTCAAGTTCTTGTTTTGTTTTGTTCCTTCTAAACTTATCTTTCTTGTAAGTCAACATAGAATTATTGAATTCATTTCTATTACCATGTGTGCTGTTTAATGGAGTTATTAAACTGGTACCACAAAATAAAATATATGTGAGTCTGTTGCTATTCACTCATGAAAGAGTTTCACAAATGAACTCCCCCAATCTACATCAGGCAGAAGCTACATCAGAAATGTAGCTCTGCTCTTTAAGAAGAATAATCTCACCAGGCTCTCATTATTATTGCTCAGCTCTGGGTCCCACCAATTAAACATTTCTAAAATAGCAGAATGAGAAGAATTGGCCCCAATGTCCCCTGCTGTTTGAAAATACAGTGGTTTGAGTGGGGCTGGAAAGGGGAGCTTTTATTAGTCCATTTTTACACTACCATAAAGAAAACCCCAGACTTCATAGTTTATAAAGGAAAGAATTTCAATTGACTCACAGTTCCCCATTGCTGGGGAGGCCTTAGGAAACTTGCAATCATGGAAGAAGGCCAAGAGGAAGCAGACACCATCTTCACAAGGCAGCAGGGGAGAGAGAGAGAAGGAGGGACTTCCAAACACTTATAGAACCATCAGGTCTTGTGAGAACTCACTCACTATCATGAGAACTGCACTGAGGAAACTACCACCATGATCCAATCAGCTCCCACCAGGCTACTCCTTTGACACATGGGATTACAATTTGAGATGATATTTGGGTGGGGACGCAGAGACAAACAATGTCATTCCATCCCTGGCCACTCCCAAATCTCCTGTTCTTTGTACATTTCAAAATTCAGAGAGTTTAATCACACTCTAGATCCTATAACTTCTGTGAATATTGTCATGGATCAGAACCCAGGTTCTCATGTACCACTGTATTTTCTCCCCCTCCCTTCCTGTCTTTCTTCCTTTCACATTATGGCCAGCTTCTCTCCCTGAAAAACTTCGTCTGGACCCTATTTTTTTTCTCCTAAGAGAGGTTAGTTCTCCTCCCCCAATGCCACCCTAAATTCTAAGCCTGTGGTTTTAACAGATGGGAAAGAAGCAGGCAACTCAGCCCAGTGAGTCCTGGAATAGCATGGACCTGGCTGCCCGGGAGCCCTGGAGCATGGACAGGTGGATCAGAAGCTGAATACAAGCTAAGCACCACAGGTGGGGTAGGATCTGAGGACACGCCCCTGAGCTGCGTGAACAGCTTCTATCATTCTCACATCCTGGGCCTACCCCTTCTGCAATCCAGAAGAGAGATTTAATTTTCTCAGCAGATGCCGCTGCCCCCAGCATTAGTTCTGCACTTTCGCATCTGGTCCCCTCCTGTTCCTTTTGCAGAGCTGTGATGTGTCTTTTGCTTGAGCACATGGGTCTGGGGCATCCGGCTCTGGTGACACAGGAGAATACAGTGGGCAAGAAGGAATGAATGCAAAGAAATTCCAGGGAAAGTTCAAAGCCGTAAGTTGGAATAGGAAGCAGAGTGAGTAGTTAGCCATTTGGGAAGAAAAACAAGCAAACAAATAAAAGTTGGAGACTTTTCTCATTCCTTATAAAAATTATATTTTAACAACCTTACATAAAATAACAAAGCATTTATAGATTTAGAAGCATATGGAATTCACTGGGGTTAAAGTCACTGAATCCTGAATAAGGCTTTGGAGAATATTTATGCCATAGTTTTTCAGGAAGTTCTAGACCCTTGAGAACTGAGCAGAGTCTCCAGGAAGTTCCACACCCTGCTCCCCCTCTTTTTGCTCCACTGGATTAAAAATTAAATGTCAAATGCAAAATGAAAGAAGTAGAAGAGGAGAACAGGGGCAGATTTGGTCAAAAGTCATTGTAAAAATGACACAGTCTCAAACCAAAAAGGAAAAAAGATTAATAGGATTGACCACACAATCTCAGGTAGCAAGTCAGCATCCTTTGACAGAGGTGAACAGATACAGAATAAAGCAAGTAGAATAAAATGTCGACAGTAGAATTTAGGTGCCAGTAGGCGTATGATTGTTCACTAAAAACTTCTTGCAATTTTTCTGCGTATTTGAAATTTTTCATAATAAGTAGATACAATTATATAGGGTAAGCACCCATGCATCAAATTAGTTCAACATGTGACCACAGATATTTTTTCTCAAAGGGCACACATGACATTTGCTCAATGATTAATTTACTATCATTGTTAGTCTTCAGCCACACAATGCTTCGTCCGCCAAAGTAGAGGTTATCAGCAGGTCATTTGCTTTACTCTCCTGGTCATTTAGGAAAAAGGGTAGAATTCGGTGAAACAGAAACTGAGCTTTGTTATCGATCTCTCCATTCTCGCAAACAAGGCAGGATGCGTCCTCTTCCCATGAGAAACTGAAACTCATTAATTCAAAATGAGAAGACTTTCTGTCCAGAAGTTATTCTATGAAAAAGATACTTGCTCATGCATGTTTGTAGTAGTACAACTCACAACTGCAAAAACGTGAAGCCAACCCAAATGCCCATCAATCAATAGTGGATAAAGAAACTGATACATATGATATGATGGCATATTACTCAGCTATAAAGAGGAAAGAATTAATGACATATATATATATATATGACATTATATATATATATGACATTAAATGCCATTAATTCATTCCTTTTTATGGCTGAGTAGTATTCCATCATGTCATATATGTGTGTGTGTGTGTATATATATATATATATATATATATATATGTCATATATATAATATAATGTCATAATATAATATATCATATATAATATGTCATATATATAGTATAATATGTCATATATATATGGAATACTACTCAGCCATAAAAAGAAATGAATTAATGGCATTTGCAGCAACCTGGATGGGATTGCAGATTACTATTCTAAGTGAAGTAACTCAAGAATGGAAAATCTAACATCATATGTTCTCACTTATAGATGGGAGCTAAAATATGAGGATGCAAAAGCATAAGAATGACACAATGGACTTTGGTGACCCAGGGGATAGGGTGGCAATGGGGTGAGGGATAAAAGATGACAAATTTGGTTCAATGTATACTCCAAGGGAGATTGATGCATCAAAATCTCACAAATCACCACTAAAGAAATTACTCACGTACCAAATACCACCTTTTCCCCAAAAACCTATGGAAATATATATTTTTTTAAATAGAAGATTTGGAGTAGCAGAAGCCAACAGGGTGACTTTGTTCTTTTCTGCTGGTTTAGTCTTCATCTTGATTTGTCAGGCCAGAAAGTGTCTCTTCCGTTACTGAACCCTCTGGTCCCTAAAGGAAGCAAAGTGTCCAGAAAACACTATAGGCAGAAATCTCAGCCCCAGCCCTACCTGGCAATGGTAGGAGCTGTGCCAATAACGCCTATGATAGCTGAAAAGAGAGGAGCCACACTCCCATTGCTGGGTGGGATCCAGAGCCAAAAAGAACTGTGCAATCTCCTAGTTTCCCTTATTTATCTATTAAACAACAAAGGTTTTTGATAACTATGCCTGGTACTTTTATTTTCAATATATAGATATCTGCATTCCCCATTAACAACCTTACATAAAATAACAAAGCATTTATAGATTTAGAAGCATATGGAATTCACTGGGGTTAAAGTCACTGAATCCTGAATAAGGCTTTGGAGAATATTTATGCCATAGTTTTTCAGGAAGTTCTAGACCCTTGAGAACTGAGCAGAGTCTCCAGGAAGTTCCACACCCTGCTCCCCCTCTTTTTGCTCCAGCTCTTTTAATCAGGATAAATGTGAAGAAAACACCTCCCTTTGCTGTTTTCTGGTGGTTTTGTGAGGACCAATATTTGGAGCTGTGGCAGTCACCTCGTGCCAATGAGTAAAGACCAAAAGAATCGCAGAGAAGCCTTTCCAGAGCTCTGACCCGAGTCAATGAACCAATCCCAGAAACACATGTTGCTTGTTGGGTGAGAAGTTTCCTGCTAATTAGGCTACATTCACTCAGGTATGGCACACAAGCTGATGGACTCACTGATTAGTGAGAAGGCAGTGTGCAAAAGAACAATTATGGCATGGGCAAAAAGTGCTCTGGTGAAGTCCAGGGTGATGGGGGACATCTAATTCAAACTTACAGTCAAGGAAGTCTTCCCGGAGGAGGCAAGCCCTGAGCTGCAAAACACAGAATGAGCAACAGTCATCTCCATAGGGTGGGAGGTAGGGGCCTCAAGACCTCCTGCCCAGGGTTGAAAGAAAGACGAAACCTTCCAGTGTGGCTGCGGGGAAAGGGGCATCGAACATGAGATGAGGCTGGAGAGGTGGACAGGGGCCAGGCTAACTAAGAGCGATGGAGGGCTATGGAAGAACTTTTAACAGAAGGTTAGATCTGTAGTTTAGAATAATCGCAATGAGTACTACTGAATTGCTGGCTGAATACAATAAGAGAATAGCAACAGCTAATACTCACACAACACGGTGTGCCAGACTCTAGGCACTTTATGTACATTAGAACATTAGATTACTTAATCCATATATTTTGCTCTCTAATATATACATAAACAATAGCAGTAGTTAATGAATGTAATTACTAACAATAGTAATTATGTGAGAGAGATACATGTCACATATAGCATTAGTAATCACGTGAGAGATATATATGATGTATATATTATATACCTCTGTCATGATTACTGTTATTACAATCACACTTATTAACTATTGCTATTGTTATATGGCATCTATCTCATGTAATTATGCTTACTGTATATATACAAGTATATGTGGTGGGAGGCACCTTGGGGATGTCCCATCTCCATATCTCATACTCATCTTATAGTGTGTATATATAAGTTAGATATTTCACATGATTTTATATATATATATACTAACAGGTATCCCACAGGCCATAGCAAATTTAGAGAGGTATATAGATCACGTATATCTCTCTCACAATTACTGAGATAAGGAAACTGAGTCAGGTGGCCCAATAAGACTCTGTAGTCCCCCTGCCTCCCCAAGCCTGAGTGCTGCGTAGCACCTAGAAGAACAGCAGTTGCTGGAGGCGAATTTCCCGTTTGTACTTTGAAGGCTGCTCTCCCTGGTCAGAGACTCCGACAGGACACAAGTGTGGGGCCTGTGAGTTCTGATGCAGACTTGTACTTGGCAAAGGTTCGGGAAAAGTTAGCGGCTGATTAGAAGAGATCTGATTTCCATCGAGGGCCGGGCAATAGGCAAGTGTCTCATGTATAAACTGAGTTTGCCCCTTTGATCCTGAGAACAGCTCTGTTGAACTGGGGGAGGTGTTCTCGACATTTGACAGATGACGTACGAAACTGAGGCCCAGGGAAGTTAAGTGACTCACCCAGGGTCCCAGTGTTACCAGAAGGTGTGCGGTGGTCTTCCAGGTAAAGTCCTCTTGTGTCAGAAGGGCGAGATAATTGGTTTGGAAGGCAGGAGGAAAGATAAGGTTATTTGAAAGTGATACGCAAGCCTGTAATCCCAGCACTTTGGGAGGCCAAGGCGGGTGGATCACGAGGTCAAGAGATCGAGACCATCCTGGTCAACATGGTGAAACCCCGTCTCTACTAAAAAAAAAAAAAAAAAAAAAATTAGCTGGGCCTGGTGGCATGTAATCCCAGCTACTCAGGAGGCTGAGGCAGGAGAATTGCCTGAACCCAGGAGGCGGAGGTTGCGGTGAGCCGAGATCGTGCCATTGCACTCCAGCCTGGGTAACAAGACTCCGTCTCAGAAAAAAAAAAAAAAAAGTGATAGCAGTTCATCTGGGGGTGATCCTGGAGCTCAAAGTGGCAAAAGAGCCACACATCAAGGCGGCGACATATAAAGGGTCTCCCTGTCTCAGATCCCACCTGGACTCTTCCTTCTCAGGGTGGGTCCTCTTTCTCTCTGCCTCTGCTCCTTGTCCTAGTCAGTAATGGGTGCAGGTTCCAGGTTCTGTGACATCACAGTTCAGGGCCCACAGCCCAATCTTGGTCCATGCCATTGAGAGTAACTGATTGGCCACTGGCCAGCCAATGGTGGGACAAACTTTGGAGCAGGTTAACGCTGTTGGAACAATCGATGCTGAAGGAGTTGGAGACGATGGGGAAGCCAGAGCTTCTCCTTCTGGAAATGGAGCTCATCTCCAAAGAAGACCAGTTCATTTTCTACTATGGACAATGTAATTGAGAGTCCTGTCCCACTCACAGGTTCAGCACATGTTACAGAAGAGCGTTTTCCTTCAGAGATTATTCACAGGTGTCCCACAGACCATAGCAAATATACGGCACATCAAGTTCAAAAAACTGTAAATACATGCAAATATGTGATTATATTGACTCAAATACTGCATTTATATTCATATACTATACTTACATGTATTAAATATATTTTCATATATGTCTGTATTATATATATATTTCAAGCTCTATTGTATATGTGAATTTATTATATATTAAATGTGTCCTATATAAATATGAATATGTGAATTCAATATATTTCAATTAGTTGTCCATATCTAAAGAGACTTCACGTAAGAATTCATGTTTTTGTTGTTTTGTTTTGTTTTGTTTTGTTTTGAGGTGTAGTTTTGCTTTTGTTGCCCAAGCTGGAGTGCAATGGCAGGATCTCGGTTCACGGCCAATCTCCGCCTCTCAGCTTCAAGCAATTCTCCTGCCTCAGCCTCCGGTGTAGCTGAGATTACAGGCACGTGCCACCACACCCAGCTAATTTTATTTTTAGTAAATATGGGCTTTCTCTATGTTGGTCAAACTAATCTAGAACTCCCGACCTCAGGTGATCCACCTTCCTCTGCCTCCCAAAGTGCTGGGATTATAGGCGTGAGCCACTGTGCCCTACCAGAATTCATGTTTTAAGGTATTTTTAAATGAAAATTAATGTACTATAGCAGTAGGTAACATCTACATATCATTTCCAATGCGTTGACCCTGTTTTAAATGCTTTCTCCATGTTCATGTATGTAATCCTGGACTCAACAGTCATCATGAGGCTGACACTGTTAGGTTCCCTACTTTACAAATCAGAAAACAAGCTCTGATAAGTTAGCTGACAAGGTCCTATAGCTAGTTAGCGGCCCTGCTGGGATTAGTGGCTGCAGTGTGCCTCTGAATCCCTGCCTGTCGGAACCTTGGGGCGGTGACCTTTGGGACACCAGGCTCTGGCTACCATGGGCAGCAGGTGGCTGAGGCTGAGTGTCCCTGAGAAGCAGAGTTTTGTCTGCTAACTTCGCTCCAGTGCCATCAGACCTGACATACTTGCATTGTCCACCTAATCCCTGTGGGCTTTCTCATTTGTTATTTGGATAGTTTATAAGGCTGGAAAATTTTCTATATCAGCTGCACTTGGAGTTTTGAAATGCATTTCATTTTTAAAATTTGAATGTAAATTAACTCATCAACAAAAGGAAAACTAGAACTGAAGTCTGGATAGAGAAAGCCCAAATTGTGGCTATAAATTTTATATGTTCTCAATGGTTTAGTTCAGGCACCTTCAAGTAGATTGAGTCTTAAGAACCTGTCTATTGTCTTCCCTGGTGAATCAGTCAGACACATGGTGCTCCCTCAATTCAGAAAGAAACAGACCAGCTGTGACATTTGTCACTGCAGAAGCCAGGCCCATCGGTCAGTCCCTTGTCCCTGGGGTGACAGTTCTGTGTTCCCCTGTGGCCCCGCTGATGTCTGATCAGTTCCTCTCCTGACTGATGCTGGCACCTCCTTGCAGGCGTGGAAACAGTCTGCAGCCTGCAGGAGGCTGCAGAGAAGGGAAGGTCTAGGGTCCCCAGTCAAGTCTAGCACAGTCACCTCCTGGTGGTACCCTCAGCCCTCACCCTGGAAACCAATGTGGGCAGCTGGGCAAAGACAGGGACCCGAGCTTGTCCTGCAGTGCTGGCTGTTTCCTCCGGAAGGTCAGAAGCACAGAGAAGCCGCTCATAGCCTTCATGAAGTAGGCATGACTACCTGTGTCCTCTTCATTGACAATGCCCGTATTTCACCAGCGAAGCCTGGACCGTTTGCCACTGACGAATGTCAGCTACAATTTCCCATCTCCTCCTCTCTTCTTCTGGCATTGAGTGATCAATCTCTTCCTTTCATTAGTCATCTCAGGTGTCCCCTGATGGATCCACAGAGAGATAGAAGGTTTTGGGTTTTGTGATGCAGCAATGAGGTTCCAGCTCACACAGTTACAGAGATGAGACATCCCACAATGTGCCCCTGACCATCTGGAGACCCCAGAAAGCTGGTGGTATGATTCAGTCTGAGCTCAAAGGCCTGAGAACTGGGGGCAGGCTGATGGCACAAATCCCAGCCTCACTGCAGGACAAGATGAGACGAAATGTCTGAGGTCAAGCAATAAGGCAGAAGAAAACAAACAAGGGAGGAAAATTATCATTTCTCCACTTTTTGTTCTATTTGGACCCTCAATGGATTGGCCGGTGTCAATTAATATAGGGAAATATTACACTTCACTGAGTCCACCAATTCAAATGCTAATCTCATCAGCAAATCTCCTCTGAGATACACTCAGAAATGATTTTCAATATGAGCACCCCAGGGCTCAATGGAATTGGCATAGACATTAACTATCACACTCTAATCAGCCCTTTCCACCCGGTGAAAGTTTTCAGGTTTTGGGGGTCAGAAGGGGCAATTATGTCCCTGAAGACAACAGGTGATTTCCTTACACAGTTTGTCTCCCATACTGACATTTCTTGTCCAACTCTTGATTTTACTTTTTCAGAGAATGTACCCAGTATGGGAAAAAACTACTGTGGCAAAAGACAGTCAACCACAAACAGCAATTATAAATCTTTTGTGCATTTTTTCTTACTTGAAAATATTAAAACCATGAGAGAATACAGAAAGCACCATACATCAACTCAGTGTCTGTGGTCATTGAGACAAGCGGTGTATTTAGATGCAGCAATGAAGCAGCAGGCACCTTCACTAGGCCCCCGTGAGCACCAGCCACTCACCAGTCCAGGAGCAGGAGCCCCTGTGCATAAAACGTGTCCCTGCAGTGATGAATAACCATGCTTGCAGGCAGTCATTAGGAGACCTTAGTCATTTGCTGCATGATGGAGACGACAAGTCTAAGGAAAGACATGTCTAAACTGCCTTTGAATGTTTTGCTAAACTCCACTGAATTGAGGAAAAATCTGACATGCATAATCAGTTCTTACAGACCCGAGAATAAGAAGAATTCAGTGACAAATGTCTTGAGTGTGCCTGAGGAAACATCTATTTCAGATCTACAAGGAGCCATTCATTTTTACACTGCACAGCTGAGGCCAGACAGGAGAGAGATTGATGTCGATTATTTTGTAATGGGAGAAGGTCACATGCCAGGCAAGTTGTGCCCGCTGGAGTCACCCATCCCCTGGATATCAGAGTTCTGTTACCAATCCCTAGACAGAAGGGCTTTGCCACTTCAGTTTTGTCCACTTCAGATCCTTGATGAAAGAATCAAGGTGGGTGGCAATACTTGTGCTTCTTTCAATTAGGCAGCAAGTCATGAAAAACGTGCAGAATGAAAAACTCTGGACTGGCAGATGTCAAGGAGCATGCTAAGAGATCAGATTATAGTCCTGTCTCACCTCCTTGCTCACTCAAACTCAGAATAAAATATTCTGAGTTTAGGACACGTGGGACACTGGACTTTCAAATCACAAATTGTTCCAAGTGTTTCTTTCAGGGATCCGCTGGTGGGGGGTGTAGAGTTCCATAGGTCGTGGCTTTGCTAACAGCTCTCTGATCACACTTCCTCTTGTTCAGTTTGCCCCTTTGCTGCAAGGAGAAATTACTTGGATTTCTTCTTGGAGGGGTCTTCAATGAGGCTTGCATGGTTCTAGTTTCACGTGCAGAAAGTACATGTGGTAATCAATTCAAATTTGTCTTTTTTAAAAATTATACTTTAAGTTCTGGGATACATGTGCAGAACATGCAGGGTTGTCACATAGGTATACATGTGTCATGGTGGTTTGCTGCACCCATCAACCCATCATCATTAGGTTTCTCCTAATGCTACCCCTCCCTTAGCCCCACACCCCCCAACAGGCTCCACTGTGTGATGTTCCCCTCCCTGCGTCCATGTGTTCTCATTGTTCAACTCCCACCCATGAGTGAGAACTCACTCCCATGTTCAACTCACTCCCATGAGTGAGAACATATGGTGTTTGATTTTCTGCTCTTGTGTTCATTTGCTGAGACTGACAATTTCCAGTTTCATTCATGTACCTGCAAAGGGCATAAACTCATCCTTTTTATGGCTGCATAGTATTCCATGATGTATATGTACCACATTTTCTTTATCCAGTCTATCGTTGATGGGCATTCGGGTTGGTTCCAAGTCTTTGCTATTGTGAAAAGTGCTGCAATAAATATACGTGTGCACATGTCTTTACAGTGGAATGATTTATAAACTTTTGGAGATGGCACACTGAATATCGATCTTCTCTCCATGATTGCCCACCCTCTCTGCAGTTAGGTGGGGTTTTGTGATTCCTTTTGCTAGCGGGTTGAGTAGAAGCAAGATCTCTGCTGGGCTCAAGCATGGAAAGACTGACTCCTGAACCTCCAGCTCCTCTTCCCAGTGGCAGAAAAGCACAAGCCACAGTAAAGAGGGAGGAGCCGCAAAATGGAACCAGCTTCGATCACCAAAGCTGAGCTCACATCTGATTTTGCAAAACAGAACTCAACCTTTGATTAGATAAACCAGTGAGAGTGTGGAGTGTTGGCAATTCCAGCATTACCTTCCTTTCCTGAACAGCACCTCTCCTCTAATAGCAGCTATTATGTACTGAATTGTGTCCCTTTTCCTCGCTGAAATGTGTATATTGAAATCCCAACCTGCAATGCCTAAAAGATAACCCTACCAGAAGATATAATCTTTAAAGATATAATTAACTTAAACCGAAGTCTTCAGGGTGGGTCATAATCCAATGTGACTAGTGTCCTCATGAGAAGGGGAATTGTGGACAGAGGTATCTGTGCACACAGAGGAAAGATCATGGGAAGATACAGAGAAAAGACAGTCATCTGTGAAGCAAAGGGAGAGGCCTCTGAAGAAAGCAACCCTGTCCACGTCCTGATCTTGGATTTTCATATTATGGAAGCTTCCATACTATGAGAAAATTAATTTCTATTTTTTTTAGACACCCAGTCTGTGTTCTTTTGTTATGGCAGCACTAAAAACTAATACAGCACTATTTTTTTCCCCCTTCCTTTTGGAGAACCACCACACCGTATTCAACCCATCTGATCAAGTGGGGCTGACTCCCGCCCTGGCTATGGGGTAAGCTAATGATCCTGGATGGCCAATCAGAGCCTCCCACCCTACTGT